TTATCCCTCTACTGGTATTCCTTTTTTTGTGGTATTCCTTTTTGTGTCTCTTTAACTTGTTTTATCTATGTTATTTTTATGGATTTTAGTTAATTCCAAAAATATTCAAAATCACCTTATAGTATCTGATGGGTTTAGATCATATCTTACCAGATCACAAGATTGGAAAGGATATAGTAATAAAATGAAAATAGAATATAATTGGGTTTTATTATAATACCTAAATTATATATTTACAACCACAGATGGATTTAATTAATTTGTTTCTAATAAACAGAACTTTAGGAATAACCGAGATAAAAATAACGGGACTAAGTAATAAATAACTTTAATCCTAAGTGAACTAAGAATGTGAATAAAAGAATTAGTTGTTCATGAAAGACAAAAATTTAGTGTTTAATAGAAAGATGGATAGGAAACAGGGGATAATATCCTTAACTACCACAAAATATTTGGGGGAGGCTCCGTCTCATAATCGGTAAAGAAATCATAATAAGTGACCCATTATAAATTTAGGGAGAGTGTTTTATAGAAAGATAAAAATGGATAAAATACGCATAAGGATTTTACATAACTATAACACTGATTATCTATATTATAAAAACAAAATCAATGTGTAGAAGGCTTTAAATAGCCATAATGATAAAAATAATAAGGAAAAGAACTTAAACGAATAATACTTTATAAAAGAACAAAAAGAGTAATAGACCAGGGGTCTATAAATAAGATAGGGGGGTTAGGGTAGTGATAGTGAATAAAAACCTATAATAAGGAACAAAGAATCTAACGAAAAAGGCCAATGATAGTAAACCTAAACTTTATAAAGCATGTAATAATACCATAATAACTTAATTCACTAAATGGTAAGTTAGGTATAAATGCTCTTAATCCAAAAAAAGGATGAAAAAGAATCAGTAAAGAACATAAAGTACATGATCAAACAAGTGAAAGAAGTAAGAAATTGACCCATATAATATGATCAAGAAGAAGAGACTAGGAAGGGAATGACAAAGATCTAAGTAAGATCAGGAGGTAGAATACACGAATAAACCTTGATTTTGTAATTAGATATTATTAAAGCCGCATAAATCGAACTAATAACCATAAAAATCATGTTTAAAAAGGTTTCTTTCCATAATCTAAATTACCTCTAATGTCATTGTAAAAGATCTAGGTATAATAAAAGTATAAGCAGTTATAAATTAAGTTGTATATATAGGTTCTAAATTATATATTGCTACAATTAGCGAAGGTAATGATCAAAAAGTCATAACTAAAACTAAAGGGATAATCCAATTTATATATCAATAGCAAAATCACTACAAATTGAGGCTAATTCGCAATAATTACAACATCAAAATGGTAATGTAAGAAAAGGAATACGAAAAGAAAGTCGACTAACTTTTATAAAAGGATAAAAACTAGACTAAAAGGATAGTAACTTACTCAGGTAAGATTGTTATGGTCTATTACTCTTTTTGTTCTTTTATAAAGTATTATTCGTTTAAGTTCTTTTCCTTATTATTTTTATCATTATGGCTATTTAAAGCCTTCTACACATTGATTTTGTTTTTATAATATAGATAATCAGTGTTATAGTTATGTAAAATCCTTATGCGTATTTTATCCATTTTTATCTTTCTATAAAACACTCTCCCTAAATTTATAATGGGTCACTTATTATGATTTCTTTACCGATTATGAGACGGAGCCTCCCCCAAATATTTTGTGGTAGTTAAGGATATTATCCCCTGTTTCCTATCCATCTTTCTATTAAACACTAAATTTTTGTCTTTCATGAACAACTAATTCTTTTATTCACATTCTTAGTTCACTTAGGATTAAAGTTATTTATTACTTAGTCCCGTTATTTTTATCTCGGTTATTCCTAAAGTTCTGTTTATTAGAAACAAATTAATTAAATCCATCTGTGGTTGTAAATATATAATTTAGGTATTATAATAAAACCCAATTATATTCTATTTTCATTTTATTACTATATCCTTTCCAATCTTGTGATCTGGTAAGATATGATCTAAACCCATCAGATACTATAAGGTGATTTTGAATATTTTGGAATTTTGACATTACGACCCTGGGACCGCTTCTGAGAGGGGTTGGGGAGATTACTACATCATATATTTTATACTCGCCTTATTAGACACGTTATTCAAATAGGCCGAATCCTCATCCTCTGACTCATAATATATTTGGGATAATAAATGGACAACTGGGGGCCTCAAAATATGAAACTTTATTCAAAATAAATGAAAGCAGTAGCCTATTAATAGTAGTGAAATGATAAAGAATTAATCTAATTTACCCTAAAATCGGTATTATGATTATATATAATATTCTATTCTCTATTTTTTATACTACTACTCCATTCTTTTTTCTACTACTTTCTTTTTTCTACTACTCCATTCTTTTTTCTACTACTCCATTCTTTTTTCGTGGAGTTTTATATTACCTAGGGGTTACTCTATCATATGGTTTATTATTATTTTCTACCACATTATACCGGAGGCGTGGAGGACTTATATAATTATTACGTGGATATTAAACTAGTTATTAGGATCCAAATCACACTCTCGTGACGCTTACGCTCCGCGCTCCCCGATTCTTTTGTTTGTTTCTTTAGGTGTGGCCTGATTTTTTATTATTGAAATGAAACTGTTTTTGCTGTTGAATATATAACCAACATATGACGACTAATCATTACATCTTTGGCTTGGATAATAGGGTATAAAGATTTTTATATTGGGGCATTGAAGCCGATATTTTTAGAAAGAAGCAAGATTGGACTCATTTAGGAATATCTAAAATAATTAGACTATAAAGGGTATAAATAAAGGTAGACCTTAAGTGTTTAATTTTATTTGGGTTTACTGATCTGATTGCTACTTTTATTATATGATTTAACCTTTATTGAGATATTTATATCCTACCTTATTGAGATATTTACATACTAAAACTAATTATTATCTTGAACTTTATGTTAAGTTATATGAACACACTTTTGGGTATAGAATGGGCACTGATTATATTATATACAAACAGGACCCGGGTCCCCCCTAATTTATGTGGCTTTTAAGGCTATTTTACGATATGAGGTACCGAGGTATCCGACCGGGCCCTATAATCTTCCGTAGGCCTCCGCTCATACATTTATAATTCATTTGATCGGAATACTTAGTTATATTTATTATCTTATTTTCTGAACTTTCTCCCTATGATTTTACTTTTTATATACATACTTATTCTTATATTCTATTTCTTTCTCTTTTTCATATAGGCTAGGGGTTTTTTTCTTTTGTCCTGTTTTCTCTTTCTCTCTTTTTTTATCCCTCTACTGGTATTCCTTTTTTTGTGGTATTCCTTTTTTGTGTCTCTTTAACTTGTTTTATCTATGTTATTTTTATGGATTTTTGGTTGATTTTACCATTGGTACACCTATTTGTTTTTTCTTAATATGTATAGTTATTAAGGTAATGAATAGAAAGTTGTATCTACTTTATCATACATAGAAGTAATTGTTTTAAGGATTAGAGCAAATTTAGATTATGAAAGAAACCTTAATTGATTTTTTATAGTTATTCGATTAATACGGCTTAATTATATCTTTAGGATAATCGGAAGATAGCTAAATTGGTTATTTTGGTGGGATTTACTAAACTTTAACCGCTACTTTAACAACATTTACTTATACAGTTAGCATAAAGTATACTGACCTAGTACTATAAATTGGTTTAGGTTTTATATTATTAGTATTAACCTCTTCATTTTCGTAATACACATTACCATTTGATTTATTGTTATTTATGGTCTTGGATTTTACCCCCTTACCACTGTTATTTTATAGTTATACAATATTATAGGGGTTAGGATATAACCATACTGATTTTTTATTCTTTTTTATATTGAGTTATATACCCCTTTACACTCTTTTCTTTCCCCCTTTTTGTTATAGATCACCTAATTCAACATCCTACGTATGTTTTTATATTTCTTTGGTTATTGGCACTATAAGGTATAGTTGTTTTATTATATACTCTATCCTTTTCAGTTTATTTATGTTACTCTTAATAGGTTATTTATAGTTAGTTTATATTTTATAGGTTGGATTATTATATTTTTATTGGTTATAATCACCTTATGATACACTTGGTTTGGATTTATGAATAGTATCCTCAGAATCAGGATTATCCCCTACGATATATCATCTAAGGATGATTTTATAAATGTTATGAGTCTTATTCCTTATTTAAGAGTACAACTATACTGTGCTAATTCAATTCCTTTATTCTATTGAACTATAACTCAGATCATAGATCTTCCCTAAAGTAGGAATTTATAAAATGGTAGAAAGACTACCCTCTTTTATTCGGGTTTGATAGCCCACCACAAACAATGTTTTAGATTTTTGTTAAGCAAGAAATTAAAATTAATATTTACAAAATGCACTCAATAGAAAATTTATAAAGAGCCAAATGAGACTCATTATCTGGATAAATAAAAATCATTAAATAAAAACATTTAACCCTAATATAATAAAGTTTCTTTAGTTTATCCAAATATTTTTAAGTCTTTTTGGTATTAGATAAGTTATAAGTAGAGTTATGGATATATAAGATATTTTCTTAGATGCCCTCACTAAACCCATTTCTATTTTCCTTGGCCTACTTTTTATTGAACCTTATATATTACATGACTTCTTACCCTAATATCCTTTTTGTATAAGGTGTTATAGACTTTTATTTCTTGAAAATTGTATTTTGGTTTATTTTACACCTACAGTGTTTATACATTATTTGGATGTTTCCCTTGGTTTATTTTTAGTTTCGGTTGAGCCTTGTTCCCTTGAGTCTATGAGTGGGGTCTTGACTTGTGACTCTCTATTAATTATTACGTTTTGTTTTATTTGTTTAGTAATTATAGTCTCTTTCTGAAGCCTTCTTCTATATGATCTCTTTTCTATTTCCCTTAGACCATGCTTTGGGTGGGCGTTTATCCTAATGGTAAGCCGCTTGGCTGTAAACTAAGTGGTTCATCCATCCTCAGTTCTATTCTGAGACGCCCAACTATTTTTT